ACCTGTTCTGCATTCCCATGCATAGCAAAATCAGGGATTCGAGTGTTAAACTGCGTTGACTTCATTTCTTGACCAGGGCTGATCTCCATTAACATCACTCGAAGGTTAGTTCCTCCTAAGTCCATTGCCAAAAATGTTCCTTCTTCTGTAAACCAGTAGACGATAAAAATTACTCATGTCTCCTTTCCACTGATATAAAGTTAAAGTTTATCGTCATAATATTTCAAAAAACGACAGTACGACCGCTGGTAAGAAAGAGTGGACAATTTCCAAGGACTCCATAGAACAGCCACTAATTAACAACGATACTAGTAAACATAATAATTTATGGACCAACGATAGCTGACAATCTGATAATAAAATTAGCTTGAAGACTTACCTTCGCCAGTAGGCATTTCAGGGACAAATGATGGTAACATAGAAATCGTGCTCTTTGCAATACCACCTTCTAGTCCTTTTTCCATGTCGGATTCCATCGTTTCCATCATATTTTGCAGCGTCGCCCGTGTTAAATGAAATTCTGCTCTCACCGTATCAATCTAAAATCAAACAACTAAGTTGATTTTTAGCATTATTTGCTTTCCGTCCCTCTTTTTAGAAAAAAAAGAACATTGAACGACTCCATAACAAATTACGCCTTTATTTTAATTGCGAAACAATGTTAACAGAGACAACTGTAGAAATGTTTTACTGACAAGAAAATAAAAAATAAAACAGTTTAATACAGCTAGTAATTTTCACAGAAAACCGACATTACGTTTGTAGTACTAACTAAAAGTTGAATAAAAAAAATTTTGTTTATTCCTTCCTTTAGTAAGAAAATTTGAATTTAAAACTGACCGACAGTGTCTTCTGTGGCACTTCAACAGCCGCATGGCTTGATTTCTTACGCACTACCCTTTCCGGTCTTTCCTCTTTCGGAGGTCCTTCAATTCTTTCCACCCCAAACTTTTTTTGCTGTTTAAGAAAATTATAAATTTTTTCCAATAACAATAAACCGCCAATGAACGTCAGAGACTGAAAAAAGGCTCAAATATACTAAAACTAAACAAAATTTGTATTGCAATATAAAATAGAATAAAAAGTGTTAAAAAAATCTGCTAAATAAAAATAAATGATGTAAGCCTAGATTCTAATAAGCGGCTAAGGTACCAAAAAATATACTTCCAACAACCTTTCCATTTCTTCCTCATTACTTTTAAACGGCTGACTGAATAATCAATTACCATTAATATCAAAAACAGATTAAATTTTTTTAAGGTAATTTAAATTTTTCTTTATTTCAAAACTGAAAATTTTTCTGATCATAACAGTACTTTCAGAAAAAATCGACAATATTATCTGAAGCAAAAATAAAAAAGTGAAAAATGTAGCCATCATAATTTCACTAAGCTCATTCTTGATCTCTAGCACTAAAGTAAGTTTTTCAAAAGCCTAGATTAAACAGTACATGAGGACAACTTAAGTAAAAATTCAAGGTTCCCTTTCTTCTGTCCTCTACCATCTCCACTGTACACAAGAAATGCTGTTGTTTCTAAATGCTCAATATTAAATATGCAAAAAATAGCTAGATTTTGATCCTCCTCTGTATTAAATTAACTAGTAGTCCTATTTTTGAACTGAAAGCAATATTAAGTAAAAAAAATTTGATTACTTTTAATTTTTAAACAACGTAGACAAGCAGCATCCAAATAACTTCTTATTTTAATTACTAACCGACTGTTAACAAAGAATTAAGGCTTTTAGTGAAAAATTCGTTAGCATAATTCATATTTAAATACTAAATTGAATTATTAGAAATCTCATATACGCTTAAATAGAACAACATTTTCCACAACTTAATCAAAGTCACATTTATACTGTTCTCAATGAACAATTTTAAAAAAATTATATTTCATCAAAAATCACTCAGCTAATTACTGAAGGTATATCCTCAAAAACAGCCAGTTTTATAAGCCTTAATTAAACAGCCTAAAATGCCACCAAAAAAACTAAAACTGTTACTTTTTAACATTTGAAACAATAAGATTTAAAAACAGATAAACAGTGAATAAAGGATAATTTTCCAACTGATTTTCTTATTCCCAAAAGTCTTGTTTAAATATCAGCCGTCCAATTTCAACAATACTTTACCTTTTTTTTTT